AGCTTTTGGCCTTCTAGAGCAAACTTGAAACGGTCTCTCAGGAATTCGTTGCCCCTTCTCTTGACCATAACTCAAAATAGGACTGGGGATAAGAATTGGACTCGAGTTTTCTGGTGGTGAACTTGAGACATCTTGTGATATTGGAAGAGTTACAGTAGGATCCCAATGCTCGTCTTCATTGGAATTCTCCCCCTGGAGACGAGTGTTAGGATAGAATAGTTGATCCTCATAGAAGGTCACATCACACGAGATAAATAATTTCTTGAGAAAGGGAGAATAACATTTGTGGCCTTTTTGGGTTGGAGAATATCCAACAAATACACATTTAAAAGCCCTGGGATCAAGTTTACTTCTATTTGGTTGTTTGTTATGGACAAATACTGTGCAGCCGAACACCCTTGGGGACAGAGAATTGAAAAGATTTACATTTGGAAAATGATCAAGGAGGACACTTAGAGGAGTTCGGAATTGAAGTGTTTTTGAAGGTAGTCGATTAATCAAATATGTCGAAGTGAGAATCGCCTCCCCCCAGTAGGAATTTGGAATTGAACTAGTGAGCATTATTGATCAAGCAACTTCCAACAAATGACGATTTTTCCTTTCTGCAACCCCATTTTGTTTAGGTGTATCAATACAAGAACTCTGATGGTATATCCCATTATCCCCCAAATAATGGCCAAATTCATTTGAAAAATACTCCCTTCCATTATCTGATCGAAGGACTTGAATATTGGATTGGAAAACATTTTGGACAAACTTTTGGAATTGTTTAAACCAGTGAAATGCCTCAGATTTATCTTTCATCAAGTATATCCAACAAACCCTAGTATGATCATCTATGAAAGTGATAAACTATTGAGTTCTAGTTAAATTAACTGTCCTAGATGGACCCCAGATATCACTATGGATCAACTGAAATGGTATTGAGGGTTTGTTTGTATGTGGTGGATATTTTACTCTGGTTTGTTTGGCAAGGACACAATGTTCACAACGAAACAAAACTTTCTCTTTATTGATAAAAAGATTTGGATACAAGACTTTCATATAAGAAAAACTTAGGTGTCCTAAGCGTTGATGCCATAACATAATATCAGAATTAGAAATAACAGACATGGACATTTTATTTTGTGACTTAGCTCTACTGGAATCCCTGGCTCCTAGGAGGTAGTATAGGCCATCTTTCTTCTCAGCAATGCCAATCATCTTCCCCGAAAAACGATCCTGAAATTCACAGTGAGAGGAGAAAAAAGTCACAACACAATTAAGATCTCTTGTTAACTTACTAATTGACAAAAGATTATATGTCAACTTAGGCACATGTAAAACTGATTTCAATATCATATTCGGTAAACAAACCATGCCCCTTCCAACCGCATGTGACATTTTTCCATCAGCAACCCAGACATTAATCAGGTTATTGCACCTGTCATATTTCTCAAAAACATCCATTGACCCGGTCATATGGTCAAAAGCCCCTGTATCCACAATCCAACAATCTGCTTGTAGTGACTTTGACAGGAATGCTTGACTCATTATACCTATTTGTGCCATAGCTGCAGTAGGAAGTTTTGAATTCTGACTTGCGGATCCTGTTGAGACCTGAGTTTGGTTGAGAAGTTGCCGTAGCATTTCCACCTGCTCTGTTGAGAAATTAAATCCAGTAGTCTTGTCTGAATCTGACTCCACCATGCGGGTTGATTTTGACTCCACCATGTGGGCTAAACTAGATTGCCCGCGTTGCTTCCTTGGTTTCCAATATGGTGGCTTGCCATGTAAGTCCCAACAAGTTTCAAGAGTGTGATAGGGCTTGTTACAATAATCACACCAGATCTTGTCCTTTGATTGAGAACCATGGTTGCCATCTTGTTTGTATTGAGAACCACGACTGCCATCTTGTTTGTATTGAGAACCAAGACTGCCATCTTGTTTGTTTGCCACAAGTGCAGAACCTCGTGTTTCCAAGGAAGGCGCGTCACGGCTAGAGGGATTCATCATCACCCGTTTCCTACTTTCTTCTCTCCTAACTTCAGCAAAAGATTCTCGGAGGGTTGGAAACGGCTTCATCCCAAACAGCCTTCCACGCACTTCATCTAAATCCATATTTAACCCCTGCAAAAAATCAAAGGTACGCTCTTTCTCAAGCATTTTTTTTTGTATTTTTCTGCATCAGTAACACACAGCCATCCAATCTCATAAAAAAGATCCATTTCTTACCATAATTCCATAAGGGAATTATAATATTTAGTGATAGTGAGACTTCCCTGTATGGTGTTGCGAATCTTCGATCTAATCTCAAAACATTGAGATGTGTTTTCAAGATCGGAATAGATTTCTTGGACCGCCTCCCAAATCTCCTTTGCTGTCTTGTAAAACAGATAAGTTTGTCCAATCCTTGGCTCCATAGAATTAATGAGCCACGCCATGACAATCAAATTTTCTACCTCCCAAGTGCTATAATTTGGTGCTGTGTTCGGTGGGGCTGTGATTGCTCCTGTCAAGTATCCAGCCTTCCCTCTACCTCTGACAACAAGAATAACAGACTGAAACCATTCTCGAAAATTCAGCCCATTAAGCTTGTGTTATGTGATTTGCAGAGAGTGGCTGTCAAGTGAGGGTGTAGATGCAGATCCGGATATAGGTCTTGGAGATGCTTGATTTACTGCTGTTGAAGACACCTCTGAGGACGTATTTGGTTGTTCTCCAGACATCATTTCCTTGACTAGTCACCAGTACCAGTGGCTCTGATACCAAGAAACAAGAATACAAAGAGAAGAATAATTCTTGCTTGCTTATTCTCATGAACTTTGTCAGATATATATACACTTAGAGAGCCATAGGTTACCGCAATTAAGAGAGAAAACTAAGGAGAAAGAATCCCTAAAAGAATCCCTAAATTATGCTATTTTGACTAAATCAAACAATAAAAGGAAAAATACAAACAAATATTTACAATTAATTGACTAAATCTCCAACAGAGGATAAAAGAATGTTTATTAGAAATTAGCCTTCAAAGAAATATCCTAAAAAATCACAATGTTATTTTATTGGAAATGTTGGTATTTTTTCTGTTGGATCCTTAATCCAATATTAGGCTTATATGTGAATAGTTATGTATTATAGACTGTCATATAAAGTTAAGCCCATTTAAAGTGGTCTACTAAAGTTTGGGTAATTTAGACTTTAATGTATCTAATAGGATGTAGGCTTTTAATGTGTAGAGACTTAAGGGTAATTCCTATTTTTGTGATGAGCTAAAATAGAAATACCAAAAGTTAACAGGAAAGTTATCTATATATAGTGGTTATGGTCCCCAAATCACACGTATTGTCATTCTATTCTTTTCTAATATCCCATCATCAAAGAGAGAGCAAGAGAAAGCTAAAAGATTATCTAGGAAAATGTGTTAATTTGAAAGACAAACCGCACGACTCTAAAGAGTAATTTCCTGTCATGGATTCAGGTAAGCTTCTGCTTATTATTCTGTTGATTCTTGGTGATTTAACATGAATATTTCTTGGATTTTGAGAGATGTTTTACATCTAAGGATATTTTGTGAAGGAAGTAGAAAATAGTTGAAAATTATTTTTCCTTTTCCGTTTTCATTTTCTAGTACTTAGCAACAAAATTATATTAAATAATTAATAATTAATTACTAATTATATTATGTATTAATTAATAATTAATACATAAATATACTTAATAACTAATAAATAGATAGTAATTACTTAATTATTAATTAGATATTAATTTATTACTATTAAGGCTTTAATTTTATTAATAAAATAATAAATAATATAGTAATTAATTATTTAGTTAATAATATACTAATCAATAATAATTAATAATTGATAATTAGTAATTAATCATTATAAAAAGAATAATTACAAAAAATTGATCATGTGATATATAGATTATTAAATAAACATTAGTAATTAATTAACTAATAAAAGTTAATAATTTAAGTAATAAACGAAATATTAATAAATTATGTATATACTAATTATTTTTCTTAATACACTAATTAATTAAATATAATCTAATAAATATGAGTACATTACTAACATAGTAATTACTTATAATTAATTACTAATAACTATTTTTTAATTATTTAGTATATTAATTTATTATATATAGCTTAATTATTAATGTACTCATTAATGATAATTTATCCATCATATTATATTATCATATTAATTTTTATTTTTTAAATAATTATCAATTATTAAGTACTTAATATATTAATATATTAATTAAAGATTATTAATTACATGTACTCAAAACAAACATAAATGTAACCAAATAAGATTTCACTTTTTTATCATACTCAAACCAATATCTTAAAAGACCACCAAACGTAATTTCATAATCGATTCAAGAATGATTTTCAAAACAATCTCATTTTCATTTTTTTTATCAAAAATAAAGTCATTTTGAAAATATTACCAAATGGGCCTGTCATAGCAGTTGCCAATTATGTATAATCTGCCATAAGTTTTTTGTATAATTAAGAAATAAAAGTGTGCAAAATTTAAAATGGGATATTTATATTTTTATATCATGTGTTTTATGTTTATTCAAAATTTATACCTTCAATTTTTGATCTCATCAAATGTATACCTTCAAATTAGATTTAATATACAAATCTATGCCTTATCTCGGTCAATAATTGAATTTGACCTTTAAAATGACTAAACTATCCTGAAAAAAGGGCAAAAAAACACTAAAACTTTCTAATATTAAGATAATTAACAATTAATAACACACAAAAAAAATCCATTTGAATGGTAATTTACATATTTTAAAGGTTAAAATTGTGAGTTTAAAGTTTTTTCCTTTTTCTATGTTTTTATTTAAGGGTATTTTAGGTATTTTAAAAGTTAAAATCGTTGATTGACTGTGAAAATGTATAAATTTTGGTATTAAATCTAATTTGAAGGTATATATTTAATGAGATAAAAAATTAAAGATATAGTTTTTAAATAAATTCAAAACACAAGGTATAAAAAAGTAAATATCCCATTTAAAATCGAGGGGAAGAACAGATAGTGATGTGTAAGTAATTTACATCAAAATTAAGCATCTCTACATACTACAAGTAAAAGGGTGGTGACAATAAGAATTAATGAATAATACAAAAGCGCAAAATTAACAGGTTCTTTGTAGGATGCAGTAAAAGGGGTTGTAAACCGGCAGACTTTATTAACAGCCAACCACTTTTGTTCAAACGCACCAAGAAGTTGTATATTAGTATGAACCAAGGACCTGATAAGATAACAAAAGGTAATTTCAGCTTCAAAAAATATTTCAATATTGAATAACTGATTTTGACATAGCTTACGTACCTCAAAGCTGTCGGTAGAACTCGCGCAATTTTTATTTTTATTTTTTCCTTTTTATATGACTATCTGCTACTATCTCACCCAAAAAAATCTTCCGCAAAGTAGCAAAACCTGAAATTGGCTTGGCAGAGTCACACTTCCACAGTGCCATTATACCAGCCATCAATGCTTTTGGGAAGCTGGAGTATTCTCCGTCAAGGATGATCCCAACTGAAGCATAAGAGGATACACAGGACTAAACTCCTTGTCTCCTCTGGCCCTCCCTCTCGAAGCATAATCATCCAGAGTTGCTTTTATACCCTTCCAAATCTGATCCTCCCCTTGAGAATCTAACCACAATGAATATTGCAGAGGTGTGAGTTTGTTCCTCTGAAGTGGCGACTGCAATTCGTCAGGCCCCCGGGTGTAGAGATGGTGAAGTATGATACTTGGTGGCAGGTCTTGAAGAAGAGGAGAAGCTGCCAGTTGAGATGATTCCAAGAAGATGAGAGGCCGAAATGCACGAAGGGCTCTGTATGGTGCACCAAGTTGTTCTACAGGGAACAAACTTTGGCCAACAGCTAATTCAAGCTCAGCCATATCCCTAGCCATCCTAAGCTTGCCTGATTCTGAAAGTGGTCTAACAAGTGAAGCATGTCTGATAAAGAATATAAGAACCCTCGAAGCCATACTCCTAACAAGCCTAGTGCAAATGTTTTCTGCCCCAGTATTGGTAGTATTTGTCGAGGGCAACAACCTAGACAGGAATTCACTACGGAAGTGAAGAATACATTTCTGCAGCTCGTCCATGTAAGATGATGCATTGTTATCCATTGCAGCATCCAAGCCAAGTGTACCAAACTTTTGGTCATGAATTTGCAAGATGCAAGACTCAAGGCGGTCAAGCATAGCTTGGAACAAAGATGTCACTGAATCACAGGCAACCCCATATATTGCACCTAACGAGGGAGACAATACATCTGCAGCAATAGTAGGTAGTCCCGTAAGCATAGATGATACGCGTGCGTGAATTTCTTGCAAATGCTGACATAATGCAAAGTTCTTGAGTTGTGCTGGAGTTGCAGGACCACTAACTTGGCACGCTTCGGGACCAGTAGATATCTGCCATTAGGATATATTAGAGTTTGAACCAAGTCCAAACGTTTTTACACATACACTCTCAGAAGAATATGTATTAATCCTATAGGAGGGCATATGACCAACACCAAAAGAACTAATCTCTCCCTCAACGTTCAGTCCTCATACCCACAATTTAGTCATAAATGCAAAATTATAATGAATCTCTAGGCAAAAACATGAAATTAAATACTGTGACGTCAATCTTGACATTAGTTCTTTTATAAGTTATTAAACGCAACCCAATGCCCTTGGCCCCTTGGACTTCTTGGATACTAGATAAAAAGACAAGGATTAGAGTTCTTTACACATGTTTATAAAATTCATCTTCAACATAGTATTAGACATGATTGAATCAAAATACTTTTAACGTAGATAAAATAATTGCCTTTTATCTTTGTCTAAGAGAACTAAGTTACCTGGTATTCAGCTCGTTCAGCGAGAAGAAGCAAAACCTTGCCAATTTCACGCAAGACCAGAAGTGTCAAGCGTCCATCCAACTGCACAGCTTCAATCTCGTCCTGAATTCTTGATACAATTCTTGAGATTTGTTCTTTGGAGGGAACACTTCCACGGCTAGACACAGGGAATATTGAATTCACAAGATCTGAAAGGCGACCCAAGCAGAGAGCCAAGAATGCTGTCAGGAATATTTCAACAGCTGCAATCATTTTATCTTTCCCCTCTGATCTAATAGCTGGTAAAACCCCTTTGACATCTGTGTCTCGTGAAATTCTTTCAAGAAGATTCTCTATCATAGTATATAGCTTTGGATAACCCATGGTAAAAATCTCTTTGACAAAGCTTGAAGCATTGAAAACAGACTTCATTTGGTTGGCAAACGCCTTGACAATGGCTTCCCAGACTCGATCAGTTAACATGGCACCACCTTCCTAAGCAAGTACAAATCGATGTGAGCAAAGGAAAGTAACTCCTAAATGGAAGACGAATAACATTAACTAACTCAGACAAATTACCACTATTTGCAATGACATACTAACAGCTGATATAATGTAAATTTGCAATGACAACTAAAGAGTTCAATTCAAGTGGAAATGGTACCACAACTCACGCATGATAAAATCATTGAATTTTTTTTTTTTCCGGCAACTCATCTATGGACGGAAGTTGCTTTAGTTAACAAAAGGGGAAATGGCAATTCATCTCATCCTTCAGAAACGACATGCCCAATTACAGTCATGTAGTAAGCAACTCAATTGCCTTCAAACCTGCAAGCCCTAACCACATATAATAACTTCCTCCCCAACTAAAACAAGCCTCTAGTGCTCTACCCTTCAAGTCTTGCGTAATAACAAACACAACAAAGATCAACAAACTCATGGTATATGTTGGGAGGTAGCTCGGCGGCACATTCCGAGCACGTGGGAAATTCTCATCTGAGCTTGTTTCCTCCCAAGTTCCGACCCGTGAACAAGTGCTGAACAAGTCCCTGGTTCTAGGAGACGTGCTCGGCGTAGCTTTCGGACCAATCTGGTGAAAGGGCAAGGAGGGCACCAATATAAGGCATCAAGTAAGTCCATGCGTCCTCAGCTTATGCTCGGACTAGACATTTGAAAGAATACACACAAGACGCCAAACAAGATCGTACTTGCCAAGATGAAGCAATTGCCACCGTAGGATGGATATGGAACAAGAATCGTTGATTAGCGACACCTGTCATACCATCTGACAAAGGCGTACAACCATATGCGGAATACTCAACGGGTGTGGGCCATACCTAGACCCAACACCAAACTATAATTACCTCATGGTCATTTATTGAAGTAAGGACAATTCTCCTATCCAACTCCTGTCACACCATTTATTGCTCCCCATAAGCTTGGTTAACTTGAGTGTCGGAGTGTATTTGGCAAGCACCACGCTGGTGTCGCTCTGACTTCAGAGCTTCTGTTGAAATACGTTCCTCAGCCTTTTTAGGAAAGTAGTTTATATTTAAGATTCTGGTATTATACCAGATCTTTTCCATTCTTTATTATTTCCTATTTTAGAGGAAGATTTTCCTCTTTATTAGGTTTCCGTTTCTTTTCCTTGTTTTATGTAGTGTACAGCTAGGGCATCTGTATATATGTGTAATTCCTGGAATGGTATGAGAATGAATACAGAAATTCATACGTTTCCTCAGAGAATTCTTCATGGTATTAGAGCGTAAAATTCTCTGAAGATCTGTAGCATTCTCATGACAAAATATAGTATGGCTTCAAGCCAATCTTCTGACGTCACCTCCAAAACAGAAGGCGCACCACCGGCAGCGAGCAATCCTGGAGGATCTGACGGATTATCTTTAACCATCACCAGTCATAAACTCAATGGAGACAACTACCTACAGTGGTCCCAATCCATGATGATGTATATCTGCGGCAAAGGAAAGGATGAATATCTCACAGGGGAGATCGAAATTCCTAAAAAAACTGATCCCCGATTCAAGGCCTGGAAGACAGAAAATCATATGGTCATGTCCTGGCTTATAAACTCGATGAACAACGAAATAGGGGAGAATTTCCTTCTTTACCAGACAGCTAAGGACATATGGGATGCAGCGAAGGTGTCCTATTGAAGTTCTGAAAATACCTTAGAACTATTTGAAATTGAGGGCAAACTTCATGATCTCAGGCAAGGCGATCTCTCAGTCTCTCCGTCTCTCAGTATTATAACGCCCTCACCCGGTACTGGCAGCAGCTAGATATGTTGGAAAGCCATAATTGGAAGTGTCCTGAAGATGCACTCCAGTATAAGAAGATTGTGGACCAGAAACGTACGTTTAAATTTCTGCTTGGGCTCAATAAAAATCTTGATGAGGTTCGTGGAAGAGTAATGGGAACGAAACCTCTTCCATTGGTCCACGAAGCCTTCTCGGAAGTCCGGCATGAGGAAAGCAGGAAAAAGCTAATGATGGGATCTAATTCAAATGGCGATACAAGCACTGAAGGTTCTGCCCTCGCAATTCGAGGATTTAGTGATAATCAAATCACTCGAGAAACTGGGGATGGAACTGCCTTTGTTGTGCGTGGAGTACCTCCGAACATTAATAACAATTCCAATAGTCGACAGAGACAAGGACGACCATGGTGCGATCACTGCAGAAAACCGGGGCATCAAAGGGAGACGTGTTGGAAAATTCATGGCAAACCATCTGACCAGAAGCCACCCCACTCTGGCCACGAGAAAGAAGGACGGGCTAATTCTGCAACAACTTCAGATGACCATCACAACGCTACAGAATCCAACCCATTTACGAAGGAACAGCTCAAAGTCCTCCAAGAGCTCTTCTCAAAAGCCGGTTCTACCTCAGGAACGAGTGTGCTAGCCCATAAAGGTAAACACTTAAATGCCCTTACAGTAAATACAGGACAGACAAGGCCATGGATTATTGACTCTGGAGCATCAGATCATATGTCAGGAGATGCTAACATTTTTTCTGAGTATAGGCTATGTGATAAAGACTCAACTATCCATATAGCATATGGATCTTTGTCTAAGGTGGCAGGAAGTGGCTCAGTTTGGGTTACGAAGGACCTCGTGTTAAAATCTGTGCTTCATGTCCCTAATTTAGATTGCAATTTACTGTCAATAAGTAAATTGACCCGAGACCATAATTGTGTTGCTAAATTTTGTCACAACTTGTGTGAATTTCAGGTATTGGATTCGGGGAAGATGATTGGCAATGCTGAAGAGGACTTTGGACTCTTATCTTCTCAAGGGTGCTACTCTTCCAACAGGACAAGTCCAAAATACAAGTTGTATTTCTTTTCAGCATCAGTCTAATTCAAGTGTCAATAAAGATAGTGAAATAATGTTATGGCACTATCGCCTTGGTCATCCGAATTTTTTGTGTCTTGAAAAGTTATTTCCTTCATTATTCAATAATAAAAATTCAAAATCTTTTAGTTGTGGAATCTGTCAACTTGCCAAACACACTAGAACTTCCTTTCCCAGGTTGTCATACACACCATCTCATCCATTTGCCATGATCCATAGTGATGTTTGGGGTCCATCTAGGGTAAAGAATATAACAGGAGCTAGATGGTTTGTATCTTTTGTAGATGATCACACAAGACTTACTTGGATATTCCTGATGAAAGAAAAATCTGAGGTTAGCGAAATCTTCCAAAATTTCAATGCAATGATACAAACCCAATTTCAGACAAAAATCCAAGTTCTTAAAACTGACAATGCCAAAGATTACTTCAAATCTATCCTAGGCACCTACCTACTGAAAGAGGGTATTGTTCACCTAAGCTCTTATGTTGATACACCCCAACAAAACGAGATCGCAGAAAGGAAAAATAGACACTTGCTAGAGGTTGCACGTTCACTTATGTTCTCCACACATGTACCAAAACAATTTTGGGGGGAAGCAGTCCTTACAGCCACATATCTCATCAATAGAATGCCTTCTAGGATCTTAAAATTCCAAACACCTTGCCAAGTCCTCAAAAAGATCTTCCCAACCACTAAAATCATTTACTCATTACCAACCAGGATATTTGGGTGCTCGGTTTTTGTTCACATCCATGCCCAACACCGTAGCAAATTAGATCCTAAATCCATAAAATGTATATTTCTGGGGTATTCTTCACATCAAAAAGGATATAAGTGCTACTCACCAGTCACAAGGAAGATATACAATTCCATGGATGTAACATTCTTTGAACATCAATCCTTTTATCCCAAATTCGATATTCAGGGGGAGAGGGTGAGTGAACATCAGATTTGGAACTTTGTTGAACCTTTAGACAATAGTAAGTTGAACCCTGACCCCGTGGTGACATTGCAACCTTCTTCTCAATCTGAAACTATTGATCATGGCAGTTCCCAGAGTCCACCAAGTCCTAACCAACAATCATTTTCTCATCAAAAGAGCAATCAGTCCGAGAGTCAAAATTCACCACCTTCACAAGACAATACCAATCTTCAATCTGGCCAAAGTCCCATTCAAAGTATGTTTCCACAACTTGCGATCAAGGATCTTCGTGTCTATGCCAGGAAGATGGGGCCCGGAAAGGATATAGAGCACTCAGTTCCGCTTCAGTCCAGTCAAGAATTTGAACTGAATACAATTTCTTCATAAATTCACCCAAGTAATAGTTCCCCTGACCCTTGTCCCACTGGTCCTATGGTTGATGATCTAGATCTCCCAATTGCACACCGAAAGGGAGTTAGAAACTGTACTTAGCACTCAATCTCTAGATTTGTGTCATATGAAGGACTATCAAAGTCCTATCAAGCCTTTCTCTCTACTCTTGACAGCGTGCAGGTTCCAGGTTCTATTCAGGAAGCCCTTAAACATCCAGAGCGGAGAAAGGCCGTGAATGAAGAAGTCAATGCCTTAGAAAAGAATGGCACTTGGATAATCTCAGAGCTTCCTCCAGGAAAGAAACCAGTAGGCTGTAAGTGGATTTTTACAGTCAAACATAAAACTGATGGGAGCATTGAGAGATTTAAGGCTTGCTTGGTTGCCAAGGGGTTCACTCAAGTCTTATGGGATAGATTACCAGGAGATTTTTGCTCCAATGGCTAAACTCAACACTATTCGAGTACTCATTTCTCTAGTAGCAAACCAAGACTGGCCTCTACACCAATTGGATGTGAAAAATGCTTTTCTGAATGGTGACTTGGATGAAGAAGTATACATGGAGATTCCTCCGGGGCTAGGAAAACTGTCTGATAGCAACAAGGTGTGCAAACTTCGAAAATCTCTATGTGGCCTGAAACAATCCCCTCGTGCCTGGTTTGGTAGATTTACAAAGTCCTTAATCAGTAACGGGTACACTCAATGCCAGTCAGGTCATACGTTGTTTGTGAAGTTTTCCCAAGACAAGAAAATTGCCATTCTCATTGTTTATGTGGATGACATCATACTGACTGGAGATTATGAGAAGAAGAATTACTGAACTTGAAGAAGTACTTGGCCAGGGAGTTTGAGATCAAGGACCTTGGTTATCTGAGATATTTTCTTGGGATCGAAGTGGCTCGGTCAAAACAAGGAATATTTATCTCTCAGAGGAAATATATCTTGGATCTACTAAAAGAGACTGGCATGCTTTGGTGTAAACCTGCTGACACACCCACGGATCCAACCAAGAAGATAGGGACAGAAGAAGGGAGTGCTCCAGTGGACAGGGGGAGATATCAAAGACTTGTTGGTCGCCTAATTTACCTTTCTCATACTCGGCCAGACATTGGTTTTTCTGTCAGTGTTGTTAGCCAATGATTGTTGTTTAAGAAGAATTCCAACAGAGAAGTTGAAGTTTTCTCAGATGCTGACTGGGCAGGAAATTTACTAGACAGACGATCTACATCTGGTTATTGCTCCTATGTGTGGGGAAATCTTGTAACATGGATGGAGAAGCAAGAAACAATCTGTGGTCTCAAGGAGTAGTGTAGAAGCAGAATTTCGAGCCCTTGCACTTGGAATTTGTGAAGGTATGTGGATAAGGAGATTACTTGACGAGTTAAAAGTAAGCAAACAGGGGTCTATCAAGATGTGACAATCAAGCTACCATAAGTATTGCCAAGAATCTCGTTCATCATGATAGGACAAAACATATTGAGATAGATCGTCATTTCATTACAGAGAAGATTAAGAATGAAGTTGTGCAGCTAATTTATGTTCCTACATGGTCTCAAATTGCAGATATTCTTACAAAGGCTCTTCCAAGAATCAACTTTGAGGAACTAAGCAGCAAGTTGGGAATGTTCAACATATACAACCCAACTTGAGGGGGAGTGTTGAAATACGTTCCTCAGCCTTTTTAGAAAAGTAGTTTATATTTAAGATTCTGGTATTATACCAGATCTTTTCTATTCTTTATTGTTTCCTATTTTAGAGGAAGATTTTCCTCTTTATTAGGTTTCCGTTTCTTTTCCTTGTTTTATGGAGTGTACAGCTAGGGCATCTATATATATATATATATATGTATATATATGTGTGTGTGTGTAATTCCTGGAATGGTAAGAGAATGAATACAGAAATTCATACGTTTCCTCAGAGAATTCTTCAGCTTCCTTTCTCATTCTCGTGCAGGACATAATTCCCGAGCCCGAGCATATGGCGTAGCACCAACCAAGTGAATACTAAGACAGGAGTCCGAGCACCGTGCTCCCCAGCACGTGGTGTTGAGTCAGCTCAGACATCAACAGCATAAAACTCAAAATTCTCATTCATTCCTACCTAATTAGCTTTCCTCTATGTTTGGAAAAACAACAATAGATTTTTGGTTGAAAATTAATAGAACCACCCCCATTCATCAGCACCAAAATTATAAACATCTCTGACCATTCCATCTCGTATCCAGCTTCAATCTCAAAAGACCTCCCTTGCAAAGTTGGCATGCAAAAATCCTCACCCCAATCCCACTCCATGATATCTCAAGAAAGACACGGAACAGGCTCAACCCCAAAAATACCTCAACATTTCAAACAATCAAACTAAAGGTTTCCCAAGTATCATTTGTCTTTAATTTCATTTCCATTAATTTGTAAGCAACATAGCATAAAAACAACTAAACAAGCACACAAAAACACCAAAAACCAAAATGTACCTCAAAATTCCAATTCCACCCACCTGAATAACCTCGTCAAGAAGCAGCACATGAGTAAATGGATCACGCTTCTTCGACAAAACCCTCTGCAAGTGCCAAACCGCGACCAATACCGAATGCAACTTATCCATACATCCCGCCATTCGTTGCCATAGCGCCTCCCTCGCCTTAGCTCCGCCTCCAATCTGCGGCGTCCCACTCCCCCTAATCCCTCCCGGACCGAAACCTCCGCCGCCTCCCGCCGACGCGGAGATTGCCTTCATATCCAATGCCGCACTCACACTCTTCAATCCAACGCTCTTGTACTTCTCGATCATCTGCTCCACTGTCGCTCTCAATTCTCCCATATTGTAGAAACCTGCAAGCAAGTCCCGACCTCGGCCTGGTTCAAACCCTCCATTCCTCTACTCAGCACCTTCATCGCCTCGCTCCTCAGCTTGTCCCCGGTCTCCCTCACCCAAGCGAGCTCCTCGTCGACGACGTCAATTCCTCCGAGATCGTACTCGTCGTTCAGCGTCAAGATCTCGCAGTGCAGCTGCGCGGCCTTGGCGAGGTCGAGCTTGTGCGGATCACTGGCAGAGGAGGAGATGAGATCTCGGAGCTTCTTGGAGAGGCGGAGGGCACGGATCGAGTGCTGGAGGAGCTCCGTGGTGCGGTGGAGGTTGGAGAGCTGTACGGTCTGCGTTTGGATGGATTTCAAGGGATCGGAGAGCTCGGATCGGACGCGGCGGAGGGAGGATTGGAGGGAGGAGACTGCGGATCGGACAGTGGCGAGGGCGTGACCGGCGTGCTGGAGGGAGGAGAGCTGGGAAAGGAGCTCGTCGTGGCGGGAGAGGACTTCAGAGCGGAGCTGAGACTCGAGGAGGCGGATGGCGTTGTGGAGCTTCTCGGCGGTGGAGGCCGGAGAGCCGGAGGAGAGCGCGGCAGAGGAGAAGGAGCTGGAGGAGAAGTCCGGGGAGAGAAAGGCCGAGAAAATTGGGTGCGATGCGAAGGAGTCGAGAGGCGATATGGAAGCGGCGGTTGTAGTGGTGGTTGTGGCGGCGGAGGCGGATTTGAAGGTGGAGAGGCGTTGGAGAGGGGAGGAGGAAGAGGTCGGAGAGGATGATGGGGGTAGCGGAGATCTCTGCAATGGTATCGCCGGCGACGCCATTGGAGAGTTTGTGAAGCGTCGGGTTGACGGTGTTGATTTTTGGAGGTTTGGAACTTTGGACGTTACTCGGGCATACGAGAACAGACGACTATTTGCCTAGATGGCTAAAACCATGAGTTTGGACTTCTGCAATTACTAGAGAAACAGAAAGAAAAAAAACAAAAAAAAAAACAAAAAAGAGAGGCGTCGTTTTAGGGTCGGAAATTACCGTGCATAAACGACAAAAGACAAAATATCATAAATCATAAATAATTAAATATATACAAGAACAAGATGTACAGCTCATTTGTTTTATGTATTTATTTTTATTCTGAATTATGATTCATAATTTTTTATAGTATTTTTTTTTATAAAAAATACACATAAAATAAGAATAATTCTAAATCATAATTCTGAATACACGAACTAAATATAAACTACAGTTTCCAAGCTTAGACGACAATAATATCAAAGAAAGAAGCTTATACGACAATATATATGTATATATATTTTGCTGTCATAGGTAGGACTTAATGCAAATGTCGTTTTTTTTTGTTGATGTTTGGAATTTTTTTATCTCAGAACAGGTTTTCTTATTTTCTATGATTGAAGTTTCTATCTTTCGTCTCAATATCTCGTCTTATAGCCAGACTGCCAAAGGATAGAGTTTTCTGTGATTTACACAAGTATAGGGAAGAACAAATTTTATTTTTAAAATCGCCATCTCCTCAAAACAAAGCAATGCAGCTCGTTTGTAAACAAAATTTGACATTTTTTTTCTTCATCTTTAAATGCTAAATCCTAGTACTTCTATATACAAATATGCAATAAATGTTTTGATTTTTCATAATTTTATAATTATAATGAATTAATTTTTAACTGATATATTCAATTTAGCATGGTACGATCATGTTAAATCCTTGTCTTCTAGTGATCCACTGTCATGTCTTATTTTTCCTCCTTGCTATTCACCTCTGATATGTTTCTAGCTTTTATTTTTTCAGTTTTACTTCTGTTTTTGAATTCGTTTTAGCTTTCGTTTTGTAATCTCTGAGGACTTATTCTCCTATCTCTATATTGGTTGTATTCAATGTAAAATATTTCTCTCGAAATTCAACCCACGAAATTGTTCTCAAGCTTCAAACTCAAAGAACTCAAAGAACCCCACAACTTCAATCTCAAAGAGATTGAAGAGCTGAAGGATCTTGGTTTGTGAGGGTTCGAGATATTTGGTAAACTGACAGTGTTTTGAGCTCCATTGCTGCATATTTTGCTCACTTGGGCCATTTGTTACCCTCTTTCTCTCTCTCCAAGAGGGTTTACCAACCAAACTCTCTTAGCAGAATTCTTTTCGTTTGGGCAAAAATGTACAAATTTTCAAAACTAGGGAACAAAATGAGAAAAAAGAAAAATAGGGAACGAAGATGGTGAATTTTTTTCAATAAAATAGAGAATTATCTGATTAGGAGGGTATAAGCGTAATTGTACTTTCAATTCTCACTAAATAAGTGACACGTGGCAATTCCGTCACTTATTGTAACAGAAAGGGAAAACTTGTTAACGAAACAAAGTTCAAGAGGAACGGATGTTACGTTCTGAAATTCATGGGGTAAAGTGTTACAAAGATCGTAGTTCAGGAGAATTTTTAAAATTAATCCCAAAAAAAATTAAAAATTAACCCTTCAAAATTAATGTGAAATGTTGCTTTAAGTATTACTTTTTTTGCTTTTAATTTATTTAAATCGATATATTTAAATAAAAGGACAGTTATATTAAGAGAAATAACAAAAATGTGACTATTATAAAGAGTAGTTTTCAATCCGTTTGGAACGCCGGATAAATGGGAGGACTGAGATTACACTACGGCATGTTTACTTTGCATCAAAGGAAAAGGAGAAGTAAGGAGTGATTCCCTTTTCCATCTAATACTGTGCTTACTTATAAAATTAGTAATGAAGATTTAGTGAGCTCCACACAATATAGGAAATGAGAAATGAGAATACCAATCATTGCACCTCTTAGTATTGATTCATTGTCAAATGAATGAATGCTAAATTTACTTATATACCCTTAATGAATTTCTATATAATCAATGATTATTTAATTGTGTAAAAGGACTTTTTAGTGATTACATTCATAAAATCGATATTCCTAATTTTAGTTAACATAAGAAAGGGAATGAGTTTGTTTCCAATTATACCATCTAATAGTCAAGTAATCATATGAAATATAATGAATATAGGGTCAGTTTGGGATTACTGTGTTGTTGAAAATTATTGTTGTTGCGTGTTGTTAGTAATAAATTGTTGTGGCAAGAAGCATATAAGTATTTGGTAAATATTTTTACAAAACTATTGTACATACCATACGTAAAAATATAGGTGTTTGGTAAAATGTGTGTAAAATTGTTGTGGTGGTGCGTAATGACGAAAATATACATATTTTAGCACATATTTATAGTTATTTCATTTCTTTTTATGGTTCATATTCAAAATATAAAAATATAATTTTAATTAATTAATTAAAATATTTTTAAAAAATATATATTTTTATTGATAGGAAAAATTTATTCATCAATTAAATTTCTTATTTTCGATAATTACTAAAAATATTTGAATAAAATTTAACATAGTATACTTGTTAAAGATTTTCAATTGTAAATAACTTTTTTAAAAATATATATTTTTTAATTTGTTATTGAAATAGTAAAATAGGTAGATTGAGAATTAAGTTTTATTATTAAGGTTATTTTCATAAATTTGGACAATGACAGCATAAGTTGTTGTGTAAAAACAACCTCTGACATGCTTATCAAATTTTGTGGTGGGTTTTGAATTGGAAGGTTTAAACTTAAGGTTCATACCATGAATATTTGAACTATGTGCAGTTTGAACCTTCGGCCGAAACTAAAAGGAGAGGTGGTTTTAGTTTTTGGGATTCAGTTTGTTTAAAGCATCACATCAAGATTCAAAAATTGAATTTGTTTAAAACCAAAGAATGGTTTTGTTGGGCCGAGTTCAAACCACTTTAGTTATGGGGTAATTTTTAAGAATTCCCCTTAAATGGAGTCCTATTTTATTTCTACCCCTTAACATTACCTATATATTTTTACCTTTTAAATTAGAATTAGCCAAATGGTAAAGTTTTTTAAAATATGTACTTTTAATAAATCAGGTACTTAAAAAGGTATAATCTATAATTTTATCTTAGTTTCTATTCACACCTCCTTCTAATTACACACCCCTCAAACTTTTTAAAGGATTAAAATTACTTTTTACATACCTCTATTATTCTAGAATTAACCTTAACAATATTAAGAAAGATTAATTTTTGACCACTTTATTTTTCTCTTCACACCCACTATTTTATTTTAATTTTTTATTTAATAAATAAAGAAAAACGGAAAATAAACAATTTTAAAAGTAAAAATTGAAAACAAAACAACTCAAATATAATGAATTAGTTAAATAAAATGACAAAATAATTTTTCATAAAAAAGGCAATATAATTATCTTATATCAAGGATCATAAAAGATAAAATGGTTAAAAAAAGAAAAATGCAAAACTTGTTAATTAGCATATGAGCGTAGGAAAAAATAATGAAAAAAAAAACGCAATTAATTGCCTAGCTTTATTAAAAAAAGAAAAAAAAAAGAGGAAAAAAATGATTAAGGATTAGTAATAAAAAACAGAGTGATTGGAAAAAAAAAAAGATATAAAAAAGGAACAAAAAATTGTAAATAAATACATTCACAAAAAAAAAAAAAAACTTAACATACTTTTATGAAATATTTTTTAAATAATCATTGAAACGTGAAAATTAAAGTTTGATTATGAATCATAAAATCATAAAAGTTCAAAATTTAGGGATAAATTATGTGGGTTGTGCGGAGAAAAAAATAATACCATTATTTTCTTTTTTATAATATAATTAATTATGTAATTAAGTCTATTATTGTTCTTTTTGTCATTTTATGTGAGGGTTTTTTAAAATAAAAAATTATAGTTATAAAGAGAGTATGGAGAGAAAATATTAAAGTGTGAATAGAATCACTTTTACTTTTTGCAAATAAAAATTGATTCGAACCACTGTGAAAATTCCCAAACGGAGTTCAACTTCGAATTCGCTAAACAATTTGCTTCTTTCCTAAATTTCTTATGTTGAATATTATGGCTAGCATGCTTTTACTTTCAATTATGTCCCAAATTTCTTGTTTTACTTGCATAATAAATGACATATGGCTTCTTTATCTTTCCTTTGTCCTAACACAACACTAACAATATAGCCACTCGCATCACACATTATTTCAAAAGGTAAAGAGCAATCAAGAGATTTCATGATAGGAGCATAAATGAGCTTGTTTTTAAGCTTTCCAAAAACATTTGCCATTTAAAAGGTCTAGATATTGCACAAAATTTTTGATGAATCTGCTACAAAAGCCTGCATGTCCTAAAAATGAACTCATGTCCTTTACAGTCTTTGGTGTTGGCAAGTTGGAAATTAACTCAATTTTTGACTTGTCTACCTCAATTCCTTTTGACCAAACAATGTGACCCAGTACGATACCTTTCGTGACCATGAAATGACATTTTTTTGAGTTAAGAACAAGATTCTTTTCTTCACACCTATTAAGACTTTTTTCAAATTGGATAAGCAGTCATCAAATAAATCACCAAAAACAGAAAAATTATCCATGAAAACTTCAAGAAAACGTCCAACCATGTCACTGAAAATTCTAAGCATGCATATTTGAAATGTAGTTGGTGCATTACATAATCCAAAAGGCATCCTTCGATACACAAAAGTGCCAAAGGGACATGTAAAAGTGGGTTTCTCTTGATCCTCAAGTGCAATTGAATTTTGGTTATACCCATACCCATCTAGAAAACAATAAAATTCATCACCTGCAACTCTTTTTAAGATTTGATCCATAAAAGGTAAAGAGAAATGATTTTCCTAGCCACTGAGTCAAGTTTCATATAATCAATGCACATGCGCCAACCCCGGGGCTGTCCCAAGGCTATGCCGGGGTTGTCGTGGGGTTATCCCGGGGCTGTCCCGGGGCTATACAAGGGCTGTACCGGGGCAATCCCGGGGCTGACCTGGGGCTGTCCCGGGGCTGTACCGGGGCTGCCCCAGGGCTGTCC